ACCAAATCTAGAACTTCTCTTACATTCTCCCAAAACTCCTCCAGCTCAGCCCTGGATGACGAAGCTACCGGTGCATAAACAGCCAAAAGGAATAACTTCGTCAGTCCCAATTTAACAATTTAAAGCGAACCCAGAGAAGTCTTGAGTTCACAACCTTATATTCAGTCATAACATTGACCAACCGAGACGACAGCAGCACCCCCACTCCCTTGCAGGCGCTCTCGCTCTCCGGGACTCCGGACCATAGAGCTAACGTCTCGCCAGGGAGCTCTTCAGTACCACTGCCCTTCCGCTTGGTCTCCGGCATACACACGACATCTAATTATCTTTCTTTCATTATTTCGATCAGCTCATTCGTCTTATCTCTCATGCCTCCTTTAACATTCCACGTGCCAACTCTGCACTCTGTCCTCCACCTTCCGCCGTGTCGGGCTGTGCGTGACGGGTGGCGGTCCCCATCGCCGCTTTGCGCGCTGCATTCCACACCAACGGGGACGAGCTGGTATGCGTCACCTTGGGGGGACGCCCTAACCCTCGTTGGCATGGGTGCGCAGCTGTGTAGAATTGCAGCCCTGAAAAGGGTTAGCAGGGGTCGCGACGAGCACGCTTCTACAATGACCCCCAGGATAGTAGGAGAAGAACTAGGCAAGCATAAACGTAAAAGAGGTAGCGGAATAGTTCTTCAGACCTTGTTTCAGTCAGGGCGCTCAGTGCCAATGGAGACTAGACACTGGGACAGATTTATAGTTCCAGAATGTATGCGCAAGCACAGGTGAACTCTCTTTTCCCTCAGTGTCATAGTTCGATGATACGGTAATCCGACACGTCTGGAGAGAAATCAGGGGCAGAACCAACAGCTGTCCATTCGTCTTTCTGACTTCAGGTTCCGAAGCTGTTACTGAGAATTTCTTTAACAGAAAAACGAAATACCTGATTTTTGGTTTGAAACAGGATTCAAACCCGAGACCAAATATTTACAATAATTTAGCTTGACCCGGTGAGTTTGCAAAATATTTAACATATATTATAAAAGTAATAAAAGAAGTAAAACACGAGCAATTTTATTAAGTGATAAGGCGTCATTCCTGCAAATGTTTTTAAACTGTTATATATCTTTGGCCATAGATTTAAGTCTAATACGAGTAATAAGATTGTAACAGAAACAGAAAGAGAAACTTTTTTATTCAATATAGATTGTAAATAATACTTATTGAAAGTAACTCTTTTGTTTAATTACCACTGGTTCGGAAAAAAAACCTTTGTCCTGGGAAGATCCAGTAAGAAACCCTGCCAGACTTTAAAAAAAATAACAGCTTACAATCTTGTATGTTACACAATTAACAACACAAAACAAATTAGAAATAGCTTGGTAGCGAAAACCTCATTGCCAGGGGTTATTATCATCCATAAATTCCTTAATAACAAAAAAGATAGACGGGGTGAAAAAATTTAACGCAAATGTTTTAGATGTCGATCTTAGTGCAAATGGTTTTATCAGACCCCAAATCAAAGATGTCAAGAGGGTTATTCCAGCTTGCTTCTAAGACGGAATAATTATCTTCTCTTCTTCAGGATAATTTTCTTTTTAGGTTAGTAATTTAACTAGTACTCACAATTATACATTTTTTTGTTCTAGTGTTAGCAGTAATTAGTATAAGGTATGATGGGATTGGCATGTCATTTTGACAAAAATCCCAAAAAAAAGTTAAAAAAAAATCCTTAATATTATAATAATCGTTTTTCCAAATTTAGTTTGATAAAGTTTTTGAACCTTGAGCAGGAAAAATTTTGTATACTTTGTGGGATTTTGTTGTAAAAGTGTAAACGTATACATCGCCCCAAGAATGAACGTATAATTTTAACCTGTTTTATTTATTCTGTTCATTTCCCTATCCAATATTTTAAACGGAATACCTGAGAAACTGCTTTATAGGTAAAATATAGTAATATTAGGTAGGTATCTACCTGCACAAGCACAAGTCTTTGTTTCCATTACGACGAATCAGGTGAATCTGCGGGACGCAACTAGTTTTGTAAAGTCGTAATTACTTTTTATCTTTGTATGGAAAAGTAAATCATTACGAGGAATACAGATGAAATGTAATAATAAGCATCATCATAATCAGCCTTCGGCAGTCAACTGCTGGCCTCTCCTAAGGTGCTTAAAGGCCGGCAACGCATCTGCAATTCCCCTGGTGTTGCGGTTGTTCATGGGCGGCGGTAGTCACTTACCATCAGGTGAGCCGAATGCTCGTTTGCCCCCTCTCCTATAAAAAAAAAAAAAAAAGGTGCGCCATTTAGCCCGATCTTCGGCTACACGCATACAGTTGCTACCAGCCGCCTTGTGCAGATCCTCCCTCCATCTAGTCAAGGGGCGTCCCACAGTATGTTTGCTTAAACACGCTCTATGACACGCCTACTCCACCAAATGTGACCAACCCATTGCCCCTTCAGTCTGCAAATGCGGAAGGCTACGTCGGTGACCTTAGTTCTCCAGCTGATTTCTTCGTTACGAAACCTATCCACCAGAGAAACTCCGAGCATATCTCTTTCCATCGCCAGTAGAGTTGTGGAATAGTCGTACCGTTAGTTTCCACGTTTCGGCACCATATTTGAGTACAAGCAGGACTCACTGGTCAAAGACTTTTGTCCTCAAGATTTGCAGTATGGGCGACGAGAACACCTGACAAAGCTTCCCGAATGCTGCGTAGTCCAACTGAATCTGCCTATCGGCTTCTTTCTCGAAGTTGTTTCTATCTGACTGAACTATCTGGCCGAGGTAGATATACTCTTGAACAATTTCAAGAATACCACCATCAACGATAATCGAATCTGGTATGTCGTGACCGTTAAACATGACTTTCGTCTTATTTAAATTCATACGCAGTCCGACATATTGGGAGGATTTATTTAGGCTGCTAAGCATGTCTTGTAGTTCCTGTAGCGATTCTACCATGAAGAAGATATCATCGGCAAAGCGTATGTGAAGAGATGTGTTTGCCATTTATTTTGATGACGCGTCTATTTCAGTTTAGCGTCTTAATAACATCTTTCATTGGATTTGTGAACAGTTTTGGGGATATTGTGTCCCCCTGTCTCACTCCCTGATGTAACTGGATAGGTTTTATAAGACCATCGTGTACTTGGACGGATGTCGAGCTTGTGGTGTTTAAATGCCTCAAGACATCTATCTATTGCCAGTCAATCCGGCAACGCTTCAAGTAATTCATAACAGCCCAAGTTTCAATGGAGTCAAAGGCTTCATAGTTCAAAAAGGTCATATAAAGAGGCTGATTATACTCGTTCGTTTTCTGTATAATTTGCCTCCCTGTATGAATGTGGTCTATGGTGCTATAGCATCCTCGAAACCCAGCCTGCTCGGATGGTTAAAATTCGCCAAGTCTCCGCGCGAGGCAATTCGTGCATAATATTATGATATTATCTAAGGATTTTTTGTGACAACCCTTCCAAATTTTTAACGACGACAGCTTTGTAGGTATTTTGCGGTATAACAAAGGAATTGACTCACTATTAGTATTTATTACACATATGGTATTGTCTAACCAATACCATTAGATATATTTGGTTTGTTAATATTATATTTTTTAATTTTTTTGAAGTCAATATAGTGTATTAAATATAAACTAGAACTATCCTACTGGCTCTTGCAAATTTATGTTGGCCTAATACTATTTCTAAAATAAACTACTAAAGTACTGATAAAAAAATTCCATGTATTTCATAGAGTAGGACTTGATTTTCTTTCGCGGTGTAAGTATACTTGGTAAGAAAATTTAAGGCAAGACTACTGGGTATACACTACGCCACGAAGATTCCCAGTAGTCTTACCAGTGAGACCACTGGGAAGGAAATTCCCAGTATCACTTGGTAAGACTACTGGGCATACCCCCAAAATTGTATCCGCTAAAAATCTGTTGAAAACTGCTCAAATTACATGTAAAATAGCTTACATTTTGAGTGCATTTATTTTCCTTGACACCGTTACCGTCAAAGGCCTATTAAAGTCCATTGCTGAACATAGACCTATGGATTGTCTCATATTAGTATATTTGCCATAGTTGCCATAGTTGGCAAGCGGGTTGGCAACCACAGTTCTTCATTTTTAGTCGTTATTTGGGAGACGCTGCTGCGCATCTCATGATTTGTTTGCCTCTGTCGCCTGTTACGATACATAGTGGATGATATGGGGTAGTGGATATTCTTACACCGCCACTACACGGCAAGTAAACATAAAATTGATCTCAATACAGTAAACTCTCGGGCTATCTTGCTAAAAACCTTCTACTTGGCACAGCACCAACTCTATGATGAAATATCGAAACTATAAAGAGTGCACTTTTTGAATTCAAAAGTACAATAAAGATAAGATTTTTACATGGTAGTCGAAATGTTCAACTCATTCGAACCTCGCCAATACAGTGAAAATTAATCGCTGATTTATCACGAGTTAGATGTTAAAGGAATACATCTTGAAGAAAATTCATGCTTGGAAATTACAATAAATATTTTGAGGACAGATGAAGTCCAAACATTAGGGCAACACTATTCTCTGATTCAAAACCTCCACATAAATAAAAGCGGCTCCCAGGGTGCGGGTCATATTCGCACTTGTCCAGATTATTTAACTATAACACACTTTCTGTATATACCTTACTAAAATCATAATGGATCTTGTTTAATATAAGGTGTCCCATTGTATATAATATACCTTACGCAAAAGTAAATATCTCTATTGCTTTTTGAGATTATTATTTTCTGTTATAATTGGAACCGTTTTATTTAATACATTATACAAATCTAAAAAAATATTTCTGCGTCTAGATTTTTGTCGTTCATGCAAACATTAGTTCCGTGTGAGATTCGAAACCGCGGCCTCGCAACGTCGCAGTTAAAATACTCGGCCAATGTTCTACAGAGCCATCACAACCGTAACCGAACTATCGCTAAAATAATTTCATCATAAATAATAATGAATATACCTATAATAATAAGCTGTGTTCCGAGATAAGCCAATGCATGGCCGTGTCGAGGGATTGACAACTCCGTTTCTTGTTTCCACACTCGCTCCTTCCAGTCCCAAACATCAATAGCACCAACGCTGCTGGGCGTTTTGTCCTGCAAAATTTTAATTTAAACATACATATAATCAGTACAACTTAAAGTAAACATAATTAAAAGTATTAATAAATTTTGTTACAAAAAATTTACCGCATAAAATTTGAAAATATTGTTCGAATGCGCTCGTTTTTAAGAATCAGTTAAAGAAACCAAACTTCAGAAATAATATTGTAATAAGGCTTTCCGTTATTGCGTAAGGTGATCGTGTTGCGTCAGAAAAGGTAACGACAAAATGTATATGAATCATACAGATATGGATGTGCAAATAATACAATATTTGACCGGATGTAGTGTAGATAACCGCATGAACACACGTTTATACATGATTATACGACATTAGTTAAAAGTCAAGCATTTAGTATAAAGTGATAAAAACGGTTAAGGTACAGGTGTCATGTACAGACATCAATATGCTGAGAAGAGAAAAGGAGAGAGAGAGAAACATTAGTGTCTTACCTTTTCAGAAATCTTTCCCGCGCCACCTATAATGTATAGTTTATCATTCATTGCGAATAACGTTGAAAAACATCTTGGAAACCTTAAACTGTAAATTTCTGTCCATCTAAAAATAGAATTACAAAAGTTAGTTCCACCTACTCATTACAACAAGATATTCTAGGGTTTGTGCTCAGCACTGGCGAGGACGCGTATGGCAGTTCGTTGGCACAGTTGCTAAGCATTGAGTTGCGCTGCTGAGAGCCTTGTGTCGGATCCCGTACGAAACAAATATTTGTATATAAAAGTAAAAAGGTAAAGTTGCAGCCTTTATACCCACTTTAGTTGCAGTGCTAGGCACAGGCATTCTCTCATTTCGGAGAGGGTTATAGACTTATGGAGCAAATAGTCTGCAGCACTGCTCCAATGCGTGTTGACCGACTTCACATGCTCTCAAAATATTATATTTCTTAGATATGGAGGCTTTCTTACGATGTCTGCCATCATTATTTGCTCGACGACGGGGTTCTGTTTATGTTCGATTGATTCTTTATACCCTCCTCATCATCATAAACATTATTATCACTATAGCCCTTCACAAGTCCACTGGTGAATATTGGCCTTCCTCAAGGAACGTAAACAAAACACGGTTACCATCTTACCCATTTGTATTTTATATGTAGATAAAAGAGCGGTAGCAGCTCACAATGAGAAATTAGAAAATAAATATAACAAAGATTCCTTGCCCTAAAACCGACTCTGAGGAGACGTATAAAGGCTATAACTTTAACTTTATGTAAATTAATGTTTCGATATCAATGTTAAGCAGCCACACGGAAGCTAATCACGAATTACAACTGCACAAATGGATCAGCTTGATCAGGAAAGGACCACACTCGCAAAGAATATCAAACCTAACCTTCAAATCCTTTGTTTTTTATGGTGCGTATAGAAATCCTTTTTACTAGTAAAGAGGCATCCTGTGAGTTGTGACGACGCATTTGCATTTTTATTTATAAATAGAAGTTTATGGGCCAACTGCCACACATTCACTTACCATCATCATTTTGTATGTATTATGTTTTTATTACAGTACTAACACAGATTTAGAAATAATTCACCCATAGTACTTCAAAAGTATACGACTTAGTAAGTCTACCTGACATGGCTGACCAATGACCACAGAGTTGTTTTTGAAATATAAATGTTCTATAGAACAAACAGTTCTTAAGTAGTTTTTGAAGAAGGTGATATGTTACTGTCATTCACATACTGTTACTTATTCTTCGTACCATCCGATGACAAATTTTCCTCTTTGTTTTCTTTCTTAAATTTCAAAACTACTCAAGAGTTATAATTATTTAGGGAATATATAAAATGGACACAAACTCATTTGTTTTGGAATTATAGCACTCGACAAGTTTGCACACTGGATTTTTCTTCTCGCCCGTCATCCCGCCAGCTACCCAGATATAATCTCGATACTTCACAGACGCCATGGCCATGCGCGCGACGTTCATTGAGCGCACCTCACTCCACGACCCAGCCTTAGGATCAAATCTTTCAACCGAGCGAAGAACTCTAAAAAAAATTTAAACATTGTTAGAGAAGTTAAGCTGTAGAGTCACCCTCCACTTTTATTTCCTGCCGGACACCCTTAGTTTTTTTAATAATATTTTAAAAATCTTACTTTAAGGTTATGTTATCGTAATGTTTTTGACAATATAAACCTGATTTGTGGGGGCAGAGAGTTGGGAGGCTGTAGCCCAACGCCACTCAACGTGGCGTATTCGATGGAAACTTGGTCGACGGAGCCCCACTTTGCTCCGTCGAACAAGCTCCCAGGGGCTCCTATTTCTGGATGGTTTATAAAAAAATAACCACGAAGAGGATGGAGGGGTCTGTTCGCTCGCTTCGCTCGCTGACTCGACCCCGCCATCCCCTTCAAAACTAACCTGTCCGAGTCGGGGTGCTCCAAGGCCCGGCCTCGCTTCTTGCACCAAATAAAACACCAAAATGTTAACTTTTATAATAAGTAAACATATTTTATAACTTCCACCATTTCCAAAAACGTCGTAAAATAGCAAGCAATCGGTCCCCAGAGGGGTAGCGAAGTCGCCCAAAAACAGGAGGCAGATAATAACATAGAGGAGCAAATTCACGTAAACTCGGAAGCAACGGAATGACGTTTACGATGCAAGTCGCGAAGTCGAGTTTCTCTTTGATCGAGTATATCTGTTACTGATTACTGTCAATGTCAAAAGTTCCGTTTCAGGTATTTATTAGTGATTTATGAATATTTTTAGAAAATTATATTAAATATTTCGACGCAGCTCCGGCAGCTAAAATTGCACGTGGGCGCTTGAGATAAGCCCCCTCACCCACAGTGACAGACTTCTCAAATTCAGGGGACTTGATTTTAAGCCCAACCCCAAGGAACTTATTTCGCCATTCTTTAGTTCAATGATTAAAGACTAAGAAGTTGTTAAAGAAATTATTTTTTCTGCGATTGGATTCTCCTGAAATTTGATTTTATCAACCTCCTTTAGGGTATACCAAATTGACTTGAACAGCTTCAATAGACATGTGTGAAGGGGGGTTTCCGTAATCTGATAAAAAAATATTAACTATTTTTTCCTCACTACCCCTTGTGTATTTTATTTTAAATGACGCTTCATTTTAATAGACGCTAATAATTAATTTATTTATATTTGTTAATAATAATATACTATGAAAGGAACTTCGTTCCAACCGAGTGTTCCACGACAATCACGCATGTTTTTTTATTTTACTTACGCCAGTGGAATGGCGTCTCAGATGTTTTCAGAGGTTTTTGTAACAATTTAAATTAAACCTTAGCTACTTTTGCATAAGGTACAATTCTATAGAACGATATACAATCACACTAAAAATCAAAGCGCAACGGCTATTTAGTCATTGCATAAATTTCTACCGTAAGTAAAAGTAGCTAATGTAGAGTTTTATAGTTTTGTAGAAAAGCGGAATGATAGGTAATGCATGAGTAATGCACGCCAGTTGGCGCAATTTTAGAAGTTTTTTAACCCCAGTCGTGGGTTTATCAAAGTCTATATACCGAACTAATTTTCGAATTTAAAATTTTTTCATGATTTGCGTTAACTTTATCTCCATCTCTGTATTTACTTTTTTGAAAGTCAAGGCTACGCCACTCCTTCAACAAATAGGATAACGATGAAGAAACTTATTACAGTTTTGATTACGATGTCAAGTTATTCTATATGATGTAGTTCATGCGGATTGAAGTGGCTTACCTTCCCTTTTTGTCTTGTCCGCCAATAGCATACAGCGCCATTCGATGTACAACAAGACCGAAATTCTTTCTCGGTACAGCAAGACCTGACTCGCTATACCATGAACGCGTCACGGGTTCGTAGCTCCAGACCGTTGACACGACGACTGACTTTCCACGTGTATCATCATCACGCGGGTCAGCACCTCCTAAAATAGGGGCTTATGCAGCAATACCGGTCTAATATATTTAATATGTAGCAGGCTCTCACGACATAGGCATGCTTAGTGTGCTGTCCACAGAATTACACACCATAGTTTTTACATTCCAACTTACTTGTTGTTATAAGACCATAGATTGTTATCATGTACTAAGTCGATAAGACCATTTTATTTCAATTTTGTTACCTTAACGTTATTTATTATAATCTGTACCATCTTGAGCAGTGTAAATAAACGTATTTTATTTTTTTATTGTTTTCACTACATTCTCCACGACTTCTTATTAGCCTTCAGTGGATCTGAAGGTTACTATGGCTGTTGAATTTATTGTAGTCAACTGGATTTAGGTTAATTAAAAAAAACACCACATAATAGTATCATGAATTTTACATAAGTCCATTGAGTAGTGGCACTGAGAGCCGCGGATTCAATTCCCATACGGAACAAGTATTTGTTTGGCCTACAAATAATTGTTTCGGGTCTGGATGTTTGTCCTTGTGCAAGTTATGTCTTGTAATCTGTCTCCACGATACACGAGAAAATCCCAATGTGAGGGTAACGTAATTTAAGAAAAAAAAACATGAGTTACCATTACCATAACAGCTTAATAAAAGTCCACTGCTGGACATAGGTCTCCCCCATAGATTGTCTCATAAGAGGGATATTTGTCACAGTTGCCACACTCGGCAAACTAGTTGGCAACCGCATTTTTTTGTGTTGTCGACTCTTACGTCACCCACGGGACTATATGGGGTAGTGGATATTGTTACACTGCCTCTACACGGTAAGGTAACTTACATAGTACGGTAAATTATTTAAAACGTATGTTGGCGGTGGAATAGAATCCATCATCCTATTTCATTACCGTATTTATATACTGTATTTTACTGTCACGAGAGAAATAATTTACTTAATTCGTGTTTTCTCTAAATATATGGATATAATGTTATGGTTTATGCAATAAAATATAATAAAAATGTTTTTCTCTTCTATTATTTTCTATTAGCTTTAAAAGCGAATTATAATAGTAGTTTCCAGTAATTATTTAAAAAATTGCGGATAATGGCGGGAATTGACCGCCGCGATGGATAACAGTTACAGATTGTCAATATTTGACACAGCTGGGATAGATGACATTTTCAGTTGAGGGGATATGGCGATAGGAATCAGCTAAAATATTGTTAAGAATAATGCTGAAAAATCATGTAGAAATGGTTTTTTAATAACTTTTGCAAACTATTAATACTTTACTACTTATATAAAATAACTACTTTTACGCTAATTTATATAATAACTTGTACGTTTTGCAAGATTTTAATACAGATAGTTACAGGGAGTTTAGAGAGATTCCAAAAAAAGAAAAATCTACTCTTTTATTGTTTTATACTACCTATCATACAGGATGCGTACAGACTATACTACAAATTATAAATGTCTTTAATGTCGTTTTGGCTTTTATCATTTATATTTTCTATATCTATACTTAGATAATAATTTAGTTATTTTTACACAACTACAAATATTTCAAACTTGTTATAACTTCTTGTACTATTATTTATTCTGTACTATAACTGAAAAATAATTTTATTTAATTTTATATGAAACAGCACAATTTACAAAAGAAATAATAATTAAACATATTTACCAACAAGGTAAACCCTTCCTCTTAGGAACGCCACAGAATGATGGTGTCTTGGCTCCGGAAGGTCGCCCACGTAATCCCAGGAATTGGTGAGTGGATCAAATCTTGTCACATGAATAATAGGTTAAGAAAAATTAAAAAAAAAACAAAAAGTTAATCTAAGCCATTTTTGACACCCACCTAAAAATATCTTTTCCTGTATTACGCCCGACTCCATACGAAGCATGAGGGTTTATTCCTCCAAAAACGAGAACTGTTTCCCGGTCCCAGTTAAACAGAGATCCATCCACAGTATAACTCTTATTAGAAGGTCCGAGGATTGAAGTTGATAATTTATTCCTGGTGGATAAATACATTCTAAATGTTGCATTTTAGTTTATTTTAAAAATAAAAATTGACGCCGCAGATGTATTAACAATCAGATTTTCATAAAATTTTAGTACACTACGAATTATTTCGTTTCTTTGAATATGAAAGATTTAAAATCAACTGTTATTAAAAAGTAAATTTGACTTTAGAGAATTGAAAAGAATAAAATAAATTCACATTCTGAAGACGGTTCGAACGCAATCTTTGAAGTCGGCTTTTACTTTTTAATAAGTTTTTTACCCCTTTTGAGTGGGCGAAGAAACTGTTTTGCCACACTTAACACTTTCACTGTCCGGTTTTCAGACACAATAGTAAGACGATAGCAATGACCCATATGTAGTGCACGGGACAGCGAAAGGGTTAAAGTTGTTTTTTTCTCTCCAAATTTATATGGGATTACATCTGAAGTATGACATATTAAAAAAACATCTCCAGTTTTTAAGTCGAAAATTGTCTAAACTATGCAAGGAAAATGATGGATAAAGTTTCACACAATTCCATTAATACTTGATAAGCAAAAAAGTGTTAAGCTCACATGTTTACTTTCGCCAGTGACTCTTTAGACTGATTGAAGAGCGACACCTGGGGGCTGCTGATGTTGTTTTGTGAGTGCAAGCCTGGTGCCCGAGGAGATTGATCTGGTCGTGAATTCGTTGCGGTCTCTTGTCTAGATCCTGACATTGGAGATATTTGCGATTCTCTGTGCGAATAAAAAAATGATAAGTGTAAAAAGAGCCGTGGTAGCTCAAGGGCTAAGTGCTCATCATTATTTCACAGCAAGTGGGCAACTCTAGTTCGATTCCCGCCGGGACCAGTGAAACTACAATTTTAAATGCTGATTTACCACGTGTTCGGTAGTGAAGGAAAGTATCGCGAGAAAACCTAACCTGAGTAAGTGATGTCTACTAAGACGCATTAGAGCAGTGCAGTGATTTAATTGCTTAATAACCCTCCTAGAAATGAGAGGTCAGCCCAGTCAGTAGTGGTGCATGAAAAGTGAAAAGTGAAAATAATAATATATTTCGATAAAAGAAAGAGCAATTAAAATACAAAATATATCAAAACCCCAAAACAGGCTTATGACGGAGGGACTTGTCTAAGGTACTGTGCACCTATTACTACAATTGCCAACTTGCCTGCCAAATAAAAATTAATTCTTTCTAAACTGTGGTCTATTTTCTAAAGAGTAACAAACGAGCCAACCAACACTTCACCTGATGGTAAGTTGATACTGCAATGTGTTGTCACTCCTAAGGACTATGATGAAACACCTCACAATCTGCAATAAGATTAGTCTTATTGCAGATTGTGAGGTGTTTCACTTTTCAACCTGAAACAGCGCAATGGCTGCTCTGGTGCTTAACGGCGGATATAAGCCTGAAGTTGATACCGACCCATATGAAATTCTTGACGGCAAAATTAGTCTCGCTAAAACTCAAAAACGACTCGATAGATTTCGATGAAATTATTTGTGTATGTTTGAACGGGCCCCTAGATGGTTTATATTTATATTTGTTGTGCACTGTTGTCGAGATCCAAAAATCTCAAAGGAATTGTAATTGAATGACGGCGTACACGTTCAGCAGTAAACGTTTGACGGACTGAAATGAAAAAGTGAATGCAAGAAAGGAGTGACGATCTGGTAAGATATGCAGGAAGTCGAAGGATGCAGGTGGCTCAGGACCGTGCTATGTGGCAATCAATGGTGGAGCAGTGGAATTGTGAAGGGCTGTCATGATAATTATTTTTTTTTACGTGGTAGAGCCATGCTGCAGCTATATTATGGTTGTAGCACGAATGGGTCGGCTCGACCGGGGCAGGACCACGCTCTCACAGAATACCAGCGTAAAATAGCAGCTTAACGCTGCTGTGTTTCGTATGGTGAGTGTAGAGAACCGGAGACCCTTTTTACTGGAAACGAGGCATTCCATCTTAGTCCTCACGGGTGACAACGCATCTGCATTTTGATTCTTAATCGAAGATAGATGTAGATGTCTATGGGCCACAGCAACCACTTACCATCAGGTGGACTGTGTGCTCGTTTGTCACCCTTATCCTATAAAAAAATTATGATGATGATGATGATGAATTAAAGAATACATTATGTTACTTAGTAATGAGGGAGGGCCTGATTTATGTAGACTGTTAGTGTAATTTATTATGCGCATTTACAAGTCTTAAATAAATATTTGAATAAACCAATCGAGAATTTATTAATAAAACTAACCTTCGAGATTCAGCTAAGGCAGCTGTGGCAGCAGCTAAGTAACAAGCTGCTACACTATTCTGTCTCTTTTCGGTAGCTTTACTCATATATTGAGTCTGAAGAAAAAATTAGTTAAGAATTATATAACAACTCTGTATAACAAGTTCTAGACGTGTTTTGTTGAAATTATGTAAACATATAAATGGCTTAATTTATTATTACAGTCGTGCTCGCTCGTAAAGTTGTAAGTAAAATTGTTGCGCAGGTAAAGTTGAAGACCATGTAAGAAAGTTCACCTGGTGTTTCAGTCATACCTGAGAAGAAATAAGGGGAGAAGTTGTCCTCTCCCGAGGAAGGGTAACCATTGTTGGTGAGACTGCCGATGTGTGCAAAAGCGTTCCATGGTCCTGTCAATATACAATGTAGAGAATTTTAGTCGGTGCGAGTCCGATATAACCTGTCTTTGCCTCCACGAGGCGGGTATGCACAAGTAAAAAGCCTCAAATTTCACATTGTAATTCGAGTTCTATTCCCGCTGACCTCATTGAAATTAACAATCGCAATTTTTGCTTATTTTCTACCGCCTTCAAAAAGGAGCCGGTACTCAATTCGACTGTATGTTTTTTTTTAATGTGTGTTACCTCATAACTTTTTACTGGGTGGACCGATTTCGATGATTCTTTTTTTATATGAAAGCTGGTGCTTCACATGTAGTCCCATATAAATTAGATCAAGATCTGGCTAATCGTTTTTGAGTTACTCTTAATAATTTTTATTGAAGTCGGTTGTACAAAATTTTTAATTTCAAATTATATCATGGACTACAGCGAAATAAAAATTGGGAAAATCTGCAGGCTTGAAAATATTTCGAGGTCAATATGAAGTCTACCAATTCCTACCAAGATTGCGTGTCGGAATCTTTTCTCCTTCATATCCCTCCCATGAAATGAGGAAGTGGGACGCAGTTGGCAGCCGTATGGGGCAGATTAGAAATTTTAACTCCTAGAAAAAGTACACTCCCAAATTTTTATCTATTTCGTTTAAAAACTATAAGTTATTTCCGATGTTGTGATACATTAATAGTGGTAGAGCCACGCGGCAGCTTTTGCTGTCGCACGGATGGGCCGGCTCGAACCGGGGTAGTACCACGACCTCACAGAAAACCAGCGTGAAGTAGAGGTTTACCTCTGCGTTTCGCTTGGTGAGTGCAGTTGGCCGGAGGCCCTTTTTACTGGAAATGAGGCATTCCATCTGGTCCTCACGGGTGACAACGCATCTACAGTTTGATTTGTAACAGATGATAGATGTAGATGTCTATGGGCCGCAGCAACCACTTACCATCAGGTGGGCTGTGTGCTCATTTGTCACCCTTATCGTATAAAAGAAAACATTAGGAAATACAGACAGAGTATTTTTAAAAGGTACCTTCTCAGTGTAACTGGTCTCGGCGGTTTCACTGCTACTGCCACTTTTGGTTGTGTTAAAATTGTCTGAAGAGTCCTTTTCAGGTGGTTCGTACATTTGTGAATGTTGCGGCGTCTACAATACAACAATTGTTTAACTTATCAAAAGCACATAATCGTTATAGCAATAAATAAAAGAAAAAAACAAACTTTTCCAAACTAAAAATAAATAAAAAGAAATAATTACATTGCTTGTTTCGATTGTACACAAGTGTATAGGCTGCGTTTGTTTGTTACTTTGTTGATTTATTAAAAATGTGCGCTGCTCCTAAAATACATAAAAAATATTATTATTTTCTGGTTTGACACGACATTTAAACTGCAAATAACAACACTTGATAAAAACAACTATATTCATAAATTGAGTTCGTTATAATTAGTGTTTTATCATCCCGATGAAAAAAGTTGGTACGATATTAAAAGTTGGGTGTCCGGTTTTCGTTTGTTGGACATATAATGTGTTTCTGGCCGTATGCGGCAGTTGTGCATAGCCGTATGCATAGGCCTCTCCATAGCTCGCTCAGCGATACGGCTACATACGGCTATGCTCGGGGTTTATCTGTGTGATAGACTTAGAAATGAGGATATCCGCAGTAGCAGTAGAATAACTGACATAATTAAAGTGTCAATGGACCGGCAATATAGCTCGAAGAAACGACAATCGATTGAGAAGAATGGTTCTCGACATGCAGTCTCGTACCGGCAAACTAAGTGTAGGGCAGTCCTCCATTAAATGGCGTGACGACCTGGTGAAGTACGTAGGGGGTCGATGCGTGCCGTGCCTTGTGACATTACGACCTAGAGGCCTATGTTCAGCAGTGGACTTGTGAAGGGTCGTAATGATAATGACGATTCGGTGAGAGAAATTATAAAATTTACGGGATAAAACTATTACTTAGTCACACCATTATTCTATCGATCAAGAAATTTATATAATATATCGGCTTATACTTCGTGTGAGGCGGCTAGTTGTAATGAAATCATAGTAATAAAACAATAAAGGGATTGACTTCGCCTTAAGGAGGAAAGGAAGTGTTTACCCATGTTATTGTAAGATTTTTATTTATACTTTAAAATAGTTTGTTTTCGTAATGGTTTACGTTAAAGGTTTTCTTCCACTATAAAAATATTAAAATAATAGAACTTAATTTGAATTGTAAGAATCATACTATCCCTAAACATAAAAAACAGACAGAATAATATAATAGGTGTATACACTATAAAGTTTGTACATTTGCATCCGTTTGTTTCTGCGGTTTTCGTTCAGTTTCCGGACTTTTTCTCGATGTTTGAGGGGTAAGGTGTTGCGACGCCGGAGTCGGGCCCTCGGAGCCCAGAGGCGGTGATCGTGTAGGTGACCTAGATTGATAGGCTTCCTTAACCTGTTAAATCACGCAAAGGGAAATCAAAAAAATGACATATCGATTTAGTGTGCTATGAGCAATTATTTAATATTAATATAATTAATTAAATTCTAATTCTATATTTGGATACAATACAGCTTTGTATTTAACTTTATTATTTGTAGACTACTATTCATATATAATACTCGTTGCGTGCGGTTTTGGAATCCGCGGCCTGCAGCGTCGCAGCCAAACGCAAAGTTACTGCGATGCCGAGTCGTCAATTTCTGGGTATGATTGTATTTGTCTTTGTATAGACCTAATATGTGAATTGACATAACTATTCCTGGACTCAGCAATTTACTCTCAAATTTTTACTGAATGTGTCCGTTATTGGTCCAAATAATAATAATCATTTATGTAAAGTGACTAATGATGCATTTTTTTGTACTTACCTTTTTTAATCTACTGCTATGCTTTTAAATGCCTTTTCAAATTAATAAAACACGAGCAGAGAAGAAATGAAGTCATTTTGAAATAATCTTATTGAAATTATCTAATATAATATGTTGAGATTAGACAAATGAAATTGCAATTTCTTACGTCAACAAGAATATTTATTTCATTTTCATTTAATTATTTGGAATCTTAAAAGTATAATATACCTGGGGCCAAAAAAAACTTTTAACATTTTGAAGTTATAGATTAATGATACCATTCCTTGGCAGTAAAAGAGCTCGTAGGTTACTCAGTAGGTATAATCTAGCCTTTCATATAAGTAGATATAAACGAGATATATATAATTTTATATATTATTACTATATTAACCTTTCTTCGGTTTTCGAAAAATTCACTCATCGTTGGTAACGATTTATCTTTATCTCCACCAAGTCCTTTTAATGTCGCAGGCAAAGGAAAATCCATCTTTGGCCGTCTCATTTCCATTTTATCATCCATTCCTCGCAAAGTACCTGGTTATGAGATATGATGTACTACGGACTTAAATACTACGATTTCTACGAACTACTTAACAAGTAAATGATGTTTAATATTTTGGAAAGTATTTTGGATGTGTCCATTCGTTCGATAATCGACTAACGTTACCGTAAAGGTGCGTACATATTATATAACATAACATGTTATAAATGTGTTGTTATATAACAAGTTTCAGTAGTATGGAGACTGAATGTTATAAAACGTGTTATTTAATGAGACACTAATGTTATATAACTTATGCGTATACGTGTACTTTTTAAAGGATAAAAAAAAGGTTCGCTCTACAAAAGAGGCGGGTATTCCAGAGGTAAAAGAATTTGTTTTTATGATACTTTTACAAGCTTTCACATCGTGAATAACACTGCAGAACGACAAACGACAATGTCATATAACATTGTTATATTGTAATGTTATTCTAATGTGTACAGTATTGTATTATGTTGCAATGTTGAAAAACAATGTAACATAATGTGGAAGTGTTATAAAACACAAGTTATACAACATGTTACTTAATATGTAGGCACCCTTACAGCATACCAAATTCCACATATAGGCCTCACTAACTGATTGCCATAGTTACCACGCTTGACAGGTGGGTTGGCAACCGCAGTTTTTATTTTTTGTTATAAGGAAAACGCTGCTGCCCAACTCCTGGTTTATTTCCCTTTTGTTTGGCGTATTTTTGATAAATTAGTTTTATATATGAACAACACGAAACAAAGAATATTAAGTAATATCAGCGAAAATTTAAAGGTGCATCTGTAGTGTCCCTTGGGACACCACAAAGCCGCAAACTTTCTTGACATATAAAATTCGCTTACTCCCGCTTCGAGATTTTAAGGTCTTCCTAGTTCATTCTTTTGTTGGGACTCTATTCTTTATACGTGAAATAAATTAATACTTAATTATTAAGGTATAATATAATACAATATAATATTAAGGGCTGAATATTCAATTATCAGATGAAAGTTATCCGTCTACTAAATTATAAATTGACTGATACAATTGGTAAAACTAAAAGATTTGTACAACCGATCAATTATTCGATTGTATTTTCTTATGTGTATTACCTTAGAACTTTTTTGTGAACAGATTTAGATAATTCTTTTTATATTTGAAAGCTGGTACTTATCATGTAGCGCCATATAAATTTGATCAAGATCTGACTAGTAGTTTTAGAGTTATCGTTAATAATGCGTATTTATTTACTTCGACCACATCGATGATATTCTCATTTTATTTATATTGAAGTCTGTTGTACAAAATTTTTAATTTTACCGCTTGTTTAAATTTAGAATATTTTGAAGGATTATATACATTATTTATTTATTCGATTTTCGAACGTTTAGCTACAGCTAAGTATTTCTGTACATTAACTAAATCCTAATAATTTACATGAGATCGACAGCGTTATAAAAATTAAGCTAGGTATCGTTTAAATACCGGGTAAGTCATCGTTGCGTCTTGGCGGTTGCATCATCGACATTTGTTGATACATCTGGTCTTTTGGAACCATGAATTGTTCAAGATAATTTAGGAAATCCTTGTACGTCACATGATTCTGAAATGTAAACAATTAATTCTATGTAAGTGAGACGATATTATGCTGTTTTGATATATTTATAGGACGTTTCTGTTAAACGGTGACGGGACTTAAGAATTTTCCTTGTTAGGTATATTATATACCAAATAAAATTTAGAAATAGTCAAAATTTAGAATTTAGAAATGGAAAATAATAACAAGCTTATTTCTCCACATTTAATAAACGTAAACTTAATTGTAAATTAATATGAATTTATTCAGTACCTTTTCTTCGCCAATCCAATTCCTCTCTGCAGGCTCGGTAAGTCCAAGAACATCGATCCAATGGTAATAATTTTTAGAGTTGTTGCCATACCAATATTTTATAATAACATATCTATAAAATTCATAGTTTGATTATTGATATTATTATAAAAGCTCGATATGTTCCACCGCGGGGTAAGGTCTATCTACTCTGATCTTGTTTATATTTGTTCAGTACTGTTTTCATCCTCAATCTAAGGCTTTCTTCACCTCATTCGATTATATGATATCCATTTGGCAAAACACGGACTACGAAGACTTGAGTCAAACATATTCGAATTACTCCCATTCGAGTTTTTTTTTTGCTTGGAACACTAGGCAAATACCATTACCAGTATAAAAGCTCATGCCAAGCACGGTGAGTATGGAAATATATCAAAAACTCGTGGTCGCTTACATATTTTAGGAAAAAGCTTTAAGGCTCATTATTAAACGAAAAATGATTAAATTCATTCAAAGTGAGTAATGTTTTTTTTCATATCGCAGTAAGATACTTTTTTTTAATGCCATCCTCTCCTGCATGCGCTACAACTTACTTATTCTAATTAAGAAGCTCTAACGACCAACAAGTGCTAATTTACGAAAATGTCCACTGGAAATTCCGCAGCCTGGTAAAGGACATTGTCAATGCGAGGATATCAACCCTGCGCTCACCAAAGAGCTTGATCAGCGTGGTTAGTATGGACAAAACCTTTTAAGGTGGCATATTTTGGGTTGCTACAGCTTGGAAAATACCAGTAGTGTCAATGGTGCCATCAATCCTGCCAAGCTTGACTATTAAAGCAAATCCCTTTAAGGCGAGAAGTCCATGTTCAGCAGTGGAAAGTCCACGGGGTGATAGAGAAGAATAATATAAAAAGGGTCAAATTTAAACAGTTTTATAATAATTGACTATCTTTGTAATGCAAATACCCACGCAAGTCCGTCGTCCACCATTTGCTGTACTTCAGGGTCATTAACAATTTCGAGTATTTCAGCGTTGTCAGGATTTCGTTTGATGTCTACCAACTGCCAGGGGGAGATGAGACCGAAACGGATACATCGCATTATGTCCACGACTAACCGACGACGTGTCGCCCAATTGCCATACAACCATCTAACTCCAGCCATGAGTACTTCTATTTCACTAAAATGTAAAACATAATTATGAGACCTGATTTTTAATTTGCTTCTTCATATATCGCTTAAAGTAAAATTTATAGTTAAAGCCTATATATATACGTCTCAATGTTGGGGTAGAACAACAGTTACAGTAATCATCCAAGCAATTTTCCATGTGATATCGCCATAGAAATAAAAAAAATTATGTCGTAAAATAAAAATAAATGGCGTTATTGTTGAAATGATGACATACTGAGAATCTGTATTTAAGACTGTAAGATCGCTTTTTATCAAGCGTGCAATTTAGATTGAGTAAAAAACTTAGAAAGCATGTTCAATAATAGTGAAGTTTTTTTTAGTGTTTAACAAGCGCTTAAAGCACAATGTGCTCACACAGATTCAGCCCTAACATGATATTTAGAATAGTTGAACAGAATAAGTCCTAAATGCTATTTCAGGATGCGTTGGCAGGCTTCACGTGTTCTTTTTTTACATTTTATTTCACAGACTTCAAACCCAAGCATTCTTTTAGCTTCCCTTTCTTTCTTTTTTTGTAATAAATCTACTTGTTGAGCGTGGCAGAAGAAGCAAGACAGAAGAATAAATGCTGTAGAAATGCAGTATTAAGCAGTATGTTCAGGCTGATACTGAATGATGATCTAAATGATGCAAGGGCTTTTCGTTTACACACTATTGTAAGGAAACGTTAAGAATTTTATAAGATTTATCTAATGAAGCTTTACCTTGTGACGCATATGTAATTAGACTTCAAAAATGTCATGACCTCGTCCGGTTCCAACTCAAGGAAATCTCTTGAAGCAACTAAAGGTAAGAAAAACCTCATGACGCGGGGAACCTTTAACAAATGTTATTTATCATTGTAAATATTAGTTAACCGCTATTTGATGTTCAATTTAACGAATCACGCAAACCATTAAATCCATCACTGGCGTCATTCCCCTTGATCTAGCTTCTCTGTAAAGTGCAAACGCTGTGTCTTCAGTAAAAAGATTTTCGTGTACTATGAATGACCAACATTGATCTTCCAAATCTATTGCATGGAAATTTAAACATGTACATTATTACTGTCATACATTATTACACATATATAATTAATGTCAATTTCACCTTTAACCGCGAGATATTGTGCAGCGCAAAACAAGTCCAAAATATTTTCTCTCTTTAGGACCTTATTGCTTTCAGGACCACTAAAAATCATCCATTCATATATTGTTTGGAAAGCTTCAGGTGAAACATTTGACTAGAAACAAGGAAATTATAATATTAAAGAGCAATAGACAAAACAAAGCGGTTAAATTCGTAATTCATTATTGGTTAGTCTCTTAGTCTAGTGTGATATGAGACCAGACCAGAGGTCGTATACGTGTGCAATAACTTTGGTTAAAAGAAAAGAATTTTCGACAAAAATATACCGAATTCGTCGAAGTTTGTCATAATTTTTTAATACGTGTTTTGCTATTTAAGGCTAGATAACGTTATTGACGTTCGAGATCAAAGTTTTTGTGTTACAATGTTCCCGCTCTATTAACCTTTGAATCGCTTTGACTAAAAAATAAGAAAGGGTTAAAAAAATTCAATTTCTAATGTATTAGTTTGCTTTTGCTTTATTAGCCTGTGAATGTCCTGGAAATCAGCCCCTTCCGTTGTAGGGAGAACTTGTGATAATCACAACACCAGACACCTCTCACCTTTGATGCTGCTGTTCTGAGTATTTTCCCTTCAGCGTAAAAAGATGTTGATTCTGACATTTATCGGAATCCATAAGCTTTTTTTAGCATTTCCCTAAGTCGTCTCTTACGACCCCCTACGGAACGTAGTGGGGAAATGGATTCTATTTCAACACACCATTATTATTGCAGGTGACTCTCTCACACGGCCGGACTCAACTGTACACTTCTGATTGACGGTTAAGTTTCTGCCAACAGATTTATCAGTCATTTGAAATCCATCCTAAAAACTTAAACTTAATTTGCACATATTAGTGATGCACAGAATAGGCTAGAGATCGTCGACTCTATGTAATATGTGTTCGTAGTTATGTATGCCAAATGGCACACGTCTTGAACTGCAGTGGAATTAGACTGTTAGTGTGGTACACTCTTCGACTGGTTTTATAATAATACCAAATTTCGATTATAGTGCACTATTATGTATCTATTCCCTCACTCTCACCGATGTGACGGCTATTTGACATGATCGGAGAGAGATCAGGTGCAAGACCAGGAATAACATTCTTTAATATGGGTGAAACACCGCCAACTTCTTGATTCCGCACTGCTACAGAGAATTTCTTCACAGAAAAACCAATGACTGATTTTTGGCCCGACTTGATTCAAACTCGGGGCTATGTAATCAGATGTCGTGCCCACTACCACTAGCCCAACTAGTCAGCCGTTTAGTACAAGTATATTGCTAGAGACCATGCGGTTCAATATAATTGCCGAGTCATGGCTAAAATTTAAAACTCAACGAATATAAAATATTTTGTATGTAGTTCCGTCCTCTATTCCTATCTTCAGTTTGTGTATTAATATATTACACACTACACAATTATTATAATTATATTATGTACCCAACAATATTGTAACAACTTACTACTTATTTTAAAGCAATAAATTATTATTATTATTCATTTGTTTATTTATATAAAGATAATTAGCTGAGTTGCACCGTGGAAAGGCGACGTAAGAGAATCCCTAGCCCATCCCGTGGGTGCCGTAAGAGTCGATAAAGAGAAAATGAAACAAGACTCATATATTTATATTTATAACAAACTGCCCGTAAGCAACCACATGGGGGGGGGGGGGGGTGGATTCGACTAAGGCGAGCTGTCTGATACATTATCAGTATGTATTTAAAGCCTGCCAACGATTAGATAAACATTAAGGTAAATAACTAATCGTTTATAAATTCCTAAATATATTTGAAGGTCGAAGGACAATACATGTTTACAATAATAAATAGTACGAGGCTTACGATTGGTAGCTCTATTTCACGATGATTGTTCATGTCGAAAAATGCGGAGTAAACTTGTAACACTATTTGATGACAGTGAAATTCTTCATCGCCAATATGCACTATGGTATCAGTGTTGCTGTAAATAATGTATCCTAATTATTTTTATTGATTTTCGCAGTTACATGCACAGTTCTGGGCCACCTGTCTTCATCGACTTCCTGAATGTTTTTTCAGGTCGTCACTCCATCTAGTGGAGATCCGCCATACATTTCGTTTATGAGTAAAAGGTTTCCATTTGAGAAACTTTCTTTCCAATCGCTTGTCGATTCTTAGAGCATGCAGGTCCCTTACTAGTTTAGCTTATTGATTATTTTAATAATGAAATTAACTCATTAATAATAACCAATTAAAACTCTACTGTTACACGTAGGTTTCTCCCATAGGTTGACTCAACAATTTAAATACATAGAATTAATTTTATGTAAATTTTAAATTTACATGTAAATTTTGGTAATAATATGTGATATTTAACAATCCTTAAAATAAAGTAATTCTTTCTTTATTTTTGGTGCTATTCAGGAGGTAGCCCCCAATTAATTTATGGGCGCTAGTCAGTCAGCTAACGCTATTACGTATTGTTCTATAAAAGGTATTTATCTTTATTAAAAATATCTTAATAAATTGAAAATTAGCCTAGTTTTCCTTATTCATATTTTTCATCAACATTTTTGGCATGTAGACAAGGATATCGTTCCGCGCAACTTAACTATTTTTTAAACGAACATCTAGAGAAAGATTACTCCTACATGTGACATTCCACTCGGCAATTTTTAAAGTAAAGCCGTAGTAAGGACATATTATACAACTAGCGGTTCGCCCTGGCTTCGCACGGGTGATTTCTGGATCTCGACAACAGCGCCACCTATTGGGTCCAATTGTGAATCTAAACCATCTAGGGACCAATTCAAACACACATAAAATTTTTGATCAAACAAGTTTATTTTTTATTTTTAACGTCCCCGCACTGCCCTTTGTGGTCGGAATTTTAATGACCTCTACTCGGCAAAATAAATATTCTTACCAAATTTCAAGTCTCTAGACCTTATGGTTCCAGAGATATCGTGATGAGTCAGTACATAGGTGGAAATCTCTTATATATATATATATACATATTAACACAGAAATTGGTAACTTAATAACAAAATATTTAATACACCTTACATGTAGTTTATTATTCTGCGATAAAATTCTTGGAAAAGGTCCAGTTTTTTTGGCAACTGTACGCGCATCCAATCAATAGGTTCTGCAAGTGCATATCCCAAACTGCCTAAGTCTTTGCCTTGTTCTTCTCTTACTGCCTGTATTTTAGATTTTGTATTATGGTGATCGTTAACTGATTTTAATCTCGAATTCACTGGTTCTTTTGGCGTAAATTTTACTTGTGATTCTAAATTTTTTTCGTGTATCTGTGAAAACGATGTTCATAAATATTGTAGATTAGGGATGAATGAAAGTAGTTGTTAGATGAGATTATTTACTAACAAAATGACTTTCTATCCTATTCTCGGGTTCTCCTGCTGCTTTTCCCTCAAATTTTACTTTAACCTTAGCTTGAGTTGGATCTGCTAAGAGCACACCTACAGTTGAAGATTGAAAAACAACCTGTAACAAGAGATGACAAAAAATATTACAAGACTCAAAAATCAAATACAAGTTATATAGGATATTGTGAATGCAATTAATTCTACCTGATTTGATTGCACTTTAAGGTTTCCACTTGGTGTAGATATAAAGGGAAATGCGGCTAGCCTCTGTAGACTCATTTCATCCGTGCTACATACACTGAAGGCATAAAATATTTAATATTACTGTTATAATCTTTGATATAATAAAGTTCTTCTTAAACCGTAATAAATTATAGAAATGTAAGTTTACCCCTATTACCTTGAGTTGTCAGCGTATGAAGACATGTTTTGATCAGCTTCGTAATCGTCAGTTGTCGCTCTTGAATCTTGTTCTGGAGACATATCTATCTTCTTCTTTGGTTTTCTAATGAAATTGAGAGGTTTTTAATTTTAAAGTCATTTCTGTATCATTGAAAACCAGCTGACTGATAGAAATATCATATATATCAGTAAAGTCGAATGTTTTTAATATTATGTTCCTATATGATGAGTGTCGTAAAAATATACTAGTTCCAAAAATCCTGAATGGTAGCAGACAGCTACATCTAATGTACAAAGCGTCTAGTATTACGATCTCAAATCGCAGTGAGCTTACAACGTTATATATAATATTTAAACATAAACAGTAAGATTTTATAAGAGCAGACGAAGGTTATATGAACTTTACCGTGAAAGATCATATAATCTTTCCGATAATTTTAGAAAATATGTCAAAAATTATTCTAAAATGTTTAAAAGAGTTTGCTCCACAGTCAAATATTTACACATTAACTACAAAATTAAGACGGCTAAAAATAAAATTAAAATGACGTGGAGTATAAACAGGGAAACTGGTAAAGGCAAACCTCGTAACACAAACTATCAATTGAAAATTAACAATGAATTGACTAAATCAAATCAAGAATTCGCAGCGGTGTTTGAGAAATATTTCACTGATATTCCAGAGAGACAACAGAGTCATTAAATACTTCTCCAACTGTCGCCGAGTCATTACTCAAACAGAATATTAGTACCTGTTTAGAAAAAATGAGATTTGAAAAAAGTACTACCGCAAGATATAGTAAAATATTTCAAAACCTTTGATGTAGAGAAAACCGCAGATTTATGGGGGAGTTCTTTTACAGTTATTGCGTTCATAATAGATTTAATTGCACTGCATTTTGCTATTATTTTTAATATTTGTATCGATTCTAGTGTGTTTCCTGATTTAATTAAACATAGTAAAGTAATACCTTTATTTAAATCTGGTTGTACATTGGACCCCGCTAATTTTAGATCTATTTATGTACTACCTGCCAGTAAAACTTTGGAAAAACTAATTTTAAATCAATTGTTAATTTTTTTTTAATAGGAATAAATTACTCCATAAATATTAATTTGGTTTTACAAGGGGTCGCTCGACTACTGATGCCGGTGTTGAGCTTATGAAATATAGTTTTAATGCCTAGGAGAATTCACAAGATGCCTTAGGTATTTTTTGCGATCTTTCCAAGGCTTTCGACTGTATTCATCATGAGACATTAATCAGGAAACTACAGCATTACAGTGTCAAAAATATAGCGCTTAGACTTATTATTTCATATTTAAGTAACAGAACTAGAAAAGTCATGATCAATGGTAAAGGTTCCTTCAGATCGGTAGTATCAATGGGCATTCCTCAGGGCTCGATCTTTGGCCCATTCCTGTTCTTAATCTATATTAATGACTTACCTTATCTTGTCGTGTAGTGGCGTCTAAGAGTATCCACTACCCCATATTTTCCCGTGGGTGTCGTAAGAGGCGACAACCCTTCACCTCCCATGGCTCCACCAACCCTCAAGTCACACGGGCCAAATCTCGGGAGATGCGCGCGGCACTTATATGTGGCAATTTACGTGGTAATTTACTTTGCCAATATCCGCTCAATAAAATAAAATGATGTGTCTTACCTAGTTTGAAGAGCACATCCCGCCCTCCCTCAATTGCGTGCACTATCCCCGTCACCATTAATCCCAGCACGACTACTCCCACCACCACTACACTAGAAAAGACACACCACTAGTTTAAAAGTCTTATTAAAGAAAATGCATGAATGAAAATAACCCCTGAGAATGAGGTGACCTCCACCATGCTGGTTTTATTAAAATTCATTTAAAAATTGTACAAACAAAATTATTGTAATTTGAAATATGTTTAAAAAAGTCCCGCTGGATTTCTTGCTCTACTTCCCAGAACTGAGGTATTTTCTTAACCAGTGGTAAATGAAAAATTACTTTCAATAAGTATTATGTAATAATCAATATTGAATAAAAATCATTCTATTCTATTCTATTCTAACGGCTACTCCTGCTATTTGACAATGGACTACTTAGGGATTAGTATTTTAATTCATTTTCAATAAATGCTCCGGAAACAAATTTAGTTTATGAACTTTTATAACCTAGATCGCACAACAACAACAACACTAACAAAAAAAGAAACCAAGAAGTAAAGGATTTGTGTGGAATCCTATAATGACATATTATATACTAAATATATAAAGGGTATGTTCCGATATAAACTGCGAGCACTGCTCAGTGCTCTCGCTTCTGAAAAATTCGTTCCGTTGTGGACCGCCACTATACTGCCGCAGTACCCTAGGAAAATATATGACGTCTTAATGACGTCATGTAAACTCACCGCCATTGTGGTACTGAAAGCACTGGCACTTTCGAGGTAAGGTGCTCTCCGTAGTACTTTGATCACGTAATCAAAAAAAACAGAGATTTAACAGCTTCCACGAATGATTGTTATTATTATTAATTAATATTGTTTTTTTAAATAAATTCGGATATTAAGTTTTAATAGCAACAACATTAAAATAATATTTTTTCTTGTTAAACAGAAAACGTGTACATGATAAATATTTTCATTTGAAAACAGTGTCGAAAAATGGGGATGACAGTATACTGCACTGAGTTCTGTTTTAAACAGTAACCAGTACCTATAGCACCAGTATAGCAAACTAAAACTAAACGGTTTCATAGTATACTGAATTAAGGTCACACCTTACAGTGGTCACAATCTATATCGGAACAAACGCATACTCTCACACCTATCACCCTGAGGTGTAAGCGGAAAACTTTTACTTTGTACGACCCTAACCATACATGATCGTCGGTTAATGGTACTCATATTTTAGCCACTTTCTACTTGTCAAACTACGTGTCAAAACCACCGAAGCATTCCTTTCTTAATCCTCGTCACAACATCTACTGATTTCATGAGAAATCGGCGCATGAGTACCAAAAACTATATCAACTCAATTTTTTTAAGCGATTCTCTTCAAATTGTCCTACTAGTGATATAAATGCATGTTCCCATGGGGCAACTCGGTGTCATATTGTTTAAACACATTTTTTTTCAATTGCAAGGAATTGTTATTTTCAAATCTGACAATTTTTGCACGCCTCATACGACACTCATACGCGAAGCGTTTAATGTAGTGCTTTACTCCCGACACGTCAAGGTCAAGCAATTTTGTGGTCTTAAAATGCCTCTATCATAACCATATTGCGCTTATACGATAATATGATTTGCCGTATATCAAGAAAACACTAATTAATCCATCGTATATTTTCTAAAAAATCATATAATATTGCTACTCTGAAAGAAAAACAATTTGAAAACAATTTTACGTGGACGTCTGGACGTCTAATGGATGTGTAACTCCTGAAAAAATTAACGTATTGAGACCGGAGCTTTTTTTTAATTACCTTCAGAATTGTATGAACTGCCCCCCTATTTCATATCAATAGCCTGGTATGCGTAGTTTGCTTAGCCCTTGATAGACAAATAACAAGTGTACAGCCTATATCGATTTTATACTTTGTGTAATCGATTTATTTTGGTAATTTTTTTCATCAAAATTAAATGAAACGGTTATGAGGCGTGCACTTTTGGATTTTTCAATTATTTTTTATTCTTTGATAATAATAATAATAATTTATTATGCAGCATGGACGGCAGCTAAATGCAATGGGGCTAAAATATCACACTCCACACAAAATGAAAGACGAACATATACAAAGAAAAAACCAACATGGCAGGTCAGATTACAACGTCACTCCTAAGATATTTCTTAATGATCGCATTTCTACAGCATTGTTGATTTTACTCTCATGTTTCTTCTGCCACAGCCAATATACGTGCCATCTTCGAATTCATAACATAACCAAACCCTTAGAGACTACGGACTTCCATTTGGCACATCTCACACATTTGACACATCTCTCTCGCCTCCTTTCCATCATCTCTTTTACGCATACAAGCTCGTCGGTTAAGGGTACTCTTAATGATTGATTGCAATATATTGAAGATGGGTGACCCATCTTCAATATATTGCAATTTTTTTGGATTCAATAATGAATAAATTAAATCTAAACCGGGTTAAAGTTACAATAAATTGATAGCCGAAAGTATAGCCCGGGTTAACTTTGATGTCAGGACGATGAACACGTCATTCGCCCGTGATCGTGGATGCTATAATGCACGAGATATATCGATGTTACAAAATAAGACATGTGACATTGCGATAAAATTAGTTGCATAGTAATAAAATACCGTTATAATAATTGTTATATAACATTACTTACTTCCCTTTGATGTTCCACGACATGTATCGTTTGTCAGTGAAATATTTTCCGTATTGTGTTTTAAGTGTGTCCCCAGAGCAATGTTGGTATGCTGTTTGTTTTTGATGAGTCAGGAATTTACTAGAATTCTCGATAAAGTCAAATGCTAAAACAAAACGCAAAGAATCACTGCTCGATTGATTTGTGCAGAATATCGACGGGGAATAATTTGGTATGATTGTAAATATCAATAATCAATAAAATACTATTCACTATTGACATAATCATCACTTAATTCTTCATCACCGTCATTACTGTGAGGGATCACAGGTATACTGCTGAATATAGGTCTCCAAGGAATGCCATGAAACACGGGCTCATGAGCTACCTGCATCCATTGAATATCTGTATGTCTAACCAGGTCATCACTACATTTAGTGGCTCGACTTACTTTACTTACAGCCTATGAAAAGTCTAGTGCTGAACATAGGTCGCCACCATAGTTTACCTCAAGGGATTCCCCCTAGTCACCACGTTCAGCAGGTGGGTTGATAACAGTTTATTTAATTTTTCAGTTGTTATTAGGAAAATGCTATTATATCACCTTTAGGAACGTACTTAATTATTTATATATATATAATGGATTAATTTATTCTTTAAGTCTTTTTAAAACCAAAGTTGGGCTAGATAGGCCTGCTGGATAGGCCATTCGAAGAATATATCAACTGTAGTTTTTGTTCCAAATTTATATGAAACCACACCTGAAATTTAAGCTATTAAAGAAAGAAAAGAATCAATATGATTTATGAAAATGCCGCGTCACATATACAAAAAAACATACAGTCGAAATAAGAATCACCTTTTTTTTTTTGAGTTTGCTAAAATACTAACGAAAAGTATATACTTACTAAAGTTACTAGTATTTGTTGCGAGATCGGATAATGAGCTGCTTCTTAAAAGTTTTGGCTTAACAGTAATATGATATCGTTCGAAGATGTTTCCGAGGCTATTTCTAATTCTTCTTCTTGGCCTATTACTGCTGAAATTATATTTAAACTTATTTTTACATAAAATGCAAGCAATTAAACGCTAAACAACCGGCCAAGTGCTTGTCGAACCACGCACAATGAAGTTAGAAGGGGCTTTCTTAATACTATGAGCATATTAAATGAGCTCGCGGTTTGATCGCCATAACGACTAAAGTGGCCCCAAATAGGACGATGGTAACTGAAGGACTTATTTTCCAAGCAGAGTTATAGGGAGTGGTATTGAAAAACAAAACGTTTTGATATTGGAAATAATACAATCTCCAACAAATCATTCCCCTGCCAAGTCCGTACAAAATTGGTCATAATTCCCTATTTATATATTAGCTTCAGGTAGTGTAACTCTAAGATATACATCACCGTAACGAACCTCCCCGCCCTAAAATATTCTGATGGTTGAATGCATATATCAAGAATACGACAAATTAAGCTGTAGGCATAAAATAACTACTAACTAACAAACAAACGAAAGGGGTATGTCAGGATCGGTCTCTTGGTGATTGATCTTCATCTTAGTAATGCAAAAATCGTTTTCTCAAAATATGTTTATTTTTTACAATTTACAATAACATTACAAAGTCTTAATGCAGCTAGTTTTAGGTCATTTTGTAACAAAATTTTTACTAATCAAAGTGCATTCTATAAGTTGGTCGACTATTACTCGTTAACTTGTTAATTCTACTTAGCTGTGATAGTTTTCCTTTTAATTTCATTATATATACCTACTATTATGTATACTTTTCACATTTCCAAAAACAGCGGTTTAATAGGTAGAGGGGGAGGGGGACACATGACTCTAATAAAAAATACCACTTTAAAGCTAAATATTTCGCAAACGGACATCTGAATCGAAAAATGTTGTTTCACATTCACAGCCCAATATTTTTGAAAGAACTATCCAATGGCACTCCACATGTTGGAATAGACGGATGAAAATAAATCACCTGTCTAGAGGTATTTTTTTTTATAGAATAAGGGTGACAAACAAGCACACAGTCCACCTGATGGTAAGTGGTTGTTGTGGCCCATACACATCTACATCTATCTTCGTTTGCGAATTGATGATGAGATGCGTTGACAGCCGTGAGAACGAAGATAGAATGCCTCTTTTCCCATTGTGATCCATTTGTCTACAACTATACTACAAATTTAGCTGCAACATGGCTCTATTATGTAAAAATACATATCTATTACGAACCACGGATCATGCGATACACCCGCTGACAGACAGACGGACGGACAGCGGAAGCTTAGCAATAGGGTTCCGTTGGTTACCCTTCGGATACGGAACGGAAATAATGAAGCTTTGAGAAAAACTCTTCTAGAGTATAGAGAATATATTGTTTATAATATAATTTTTATTAAACGCGATATAATCCGTAAAAGTAGTTTTATTCAATGTTATTATGTAGTGTTCGCGTAAATATAAGAAGTCATTATAGAGAATATATATTTAGAGAATAGAGTTCTATTAGCGAGAGATCTATTAGATAATTGTATACTTACTTGTGGGTGTTTTGCGTAAGACCGTTTCTTGCATTTGAAACCTTGTTTACACCGTTAACCTGCACAAATTTATATATTAACGATCTTTTATACGTATTTTCATCAGTACTAAACGTAAGTCAATGCTAAGTTTATACGCCGCACCATAAGCTATTGTTAATACTAATCGGTAAAGCATGCATGAAAAGTTAAAAACTACATAATCAATGATTTTTTTTTTGTGAGATTCTCACTGTATCCTAATATTCTTACATCAGCACTACACTGGCGGTTGACTGTCGTAAAGGCGACAGAGAGAAGCTGAACCAGGAGATGGGCAGCAGCACCTTCCTGATAACAACTTAATTAAAAAAAACTGCGGTTGCGTAGCAGCTTGCTAAGGCAATCGGTGGGAGAGGCCAATGTTCAGCAGTGGACTTTTGGTAGGCTTTATTAGAATGGTATGGTAACATTAACAATGAGTCTTTACGTTAGTTTAGTAGAGTTTTTATGTTGCTATCACCAATATAATTTATTATATTAACAATAGAATTACTTGGCAAAAAAACTATACATTGTCTTGTCCATGTTTATCACAAGACCTATCTGCTGGGAGACACTATTGAGATAAATGATCATAGTGATAAGGTGCTCCAGCGATTTTGCAATACTAACTAAACTCGGCAAATCAGGGATGAGTGTTACATTGCCCAATAATGTTGATACCGTAGCCAACACGGCAGTGAAGAGTTATATAACGCCACCCTGTCTTACACCTCGTTGCAGTTGGATAGTCTTGTTTTGTTCTCGGATTGCTATTTTAGCCCTACTGTACAAACACTTCAGCACTTCGATATACCGGCGGTTAACTTGGTGCCGCGGAAGTGACTGTAGCATCGACCAAATATCGACGAATTCAAAGGATTCCTCATAGTGTACATAAGATAAAGAGGCAAATTGTACTTTTCGCTCTTCTGTGCTATTTACCGAAGAGTATGTCTGTGATCTATGGTATTAACGTCTTTTCAGAAACCGGCTTGTTCGAAAGGCTGGAAGTCGTCAAGTCTCCGTGTGAGACGATTCGTAATGACTGTCGAAAATAGCATGTAGACGCGGCTTAGGAAGAAAAACGATTTGTAGTTCTTAAAAAAAATGAAAAGAATTCTGCTCCACGCCAGAGGCAAGTCTCTCTCTCTCTGGAGTCAATCTCGAGTGTCCCGGAAATGACGATTCTACAGTCGGTTTTCAACATAGACAGATGACTTTTTCCGGCAGAGAGATCTATGACAATGACTTTAGAGCCTTCAGATGAATCGCTTCCTAATATTGAAGACGCGTATGTGTAGCCGCATTTTTTTGGCAATCTGCTTGTTCAGTTGCTTGAATGCTGTCATATATGTGAAGTTATGAGAATAAGAGAGCGATCGAAGAATTTTTGAATTCTTCTGCGATGGGTCTTACAAAATTTAGCTCCGATCGCATGGATAGTTTCCACAAGCTTGATATTTTAATCGTTCATTGTATTGCAATCTTTTAGGTACACTGGAAACGATTTTGTAATTGGAGCTGAAAATTTTCCAGAGGTAGGAGCACTACGCTCGAAGTTGTCCGTGAGAATGTTTACAGAGGACAAATTGTCCGACTAGATATTCTACATCTTCCGACTTTTATCGGATGAAAGTACGTACGTAAAGGTCAAAACAGACCCTACAACTAATACGCTTAAAACAACTAGCGATCTAATTAAGAAATATTTCGAGAAATTGAATCTAGACGTTAATTCGATAATACCTGCGTGTGCCAAACCACCGAAGTTGTATTTACCAAAAATACACAATGTTCTATTTCATACGAGAGATCACTCGACACATCCAACTTGACAGGACAGCATTCCGGAGATATCGACTCGTCGCGTATAACTCAAAACTTGAAAATACGAGTGTACAATGCGTGTCAGTACAATTCAAATTGTGATATATCATAAAATATCATAATAAAATCAAATCAAAATATCTTTTTTCTTATTTATCAGACACGCAGGTTTCATCTCGTTGTTTTCCTTCACCACCGAGCATTTGGTAAATCAGCACTTAGAATTGCAATTAACAATTTTATTGGTGTCGGTGTGGATCGAACCCGGGTTGCTCGCGTACTGACAGCGAGCGTTTAGCCCCCGAGCTACCACGGCTAAGGGGCTAAGCTAAATTAGTTTCAATTTGATGATCATAAATAGTTACACTGGCAGCACGCACTGGTTGTACAATTACGCATTTATACAGTGATGACTTATGGATCTGAGACGTGGTCCTTCACTGCTGGCCGTATGAGGACGCTCAAGATTGCTCGGCGAGCTATGGAAAGAGCTATGCTCGGGGTTTCCCTGCGTGATATACTTAGAAATAAGGATATCCGCAGTAGAACAAGAGTAACCGACATAGCCCAACGGATTACTAATCTGAAGTGGCAATGGGCCTGCCATATAGTTCGAAGAACAGACAACCAATGGGGAAAAAAGGTTCTCGAGTGGCAGGTAGGCGAAGTGTAGGGCGTCCCCCCACTAGATGGAGTGACGACCTGGTAAGACACGCAGGAAGTCGATGGATGAAGGTGGCTCAGGACCGTGCTTTGTGGCATTCCTTGGGGGAGGTTTATGTTCAGCAGTGGACTTGTGAAGGGCTGTAATGATGAAATAGTTACACTCGTATACTTTTACTTACTTTTTCCAAACTAGCACTCTTTTGCATTTCAAACTCACTAAACGAGTAATATATGAATATTGTCCATATTGCATAAATAAATGTCTTCAAAGTTATAATAAATAACCAAAACTTCGTAAAAATTTTTGACAGTTACTGGTTTGACGTATCTAAACTTGACGTTCTAACTAATCAAGTTTGAATTTTATCTTATTTTTAAAGCAAAATTACAAATCCTATAAAACCGGTACTTATGTATTTATGAAACCATAGAGCAATACGGACCACCAGCGGACGGGAAGGGAGCAGCCATACGCAGATGTTCCCCTCAGTCAAAGTATAAGTTCACACTGTCTTATGCGTACAATAAAACTAGTTGCAGTCACTAGACAAATCTAGTTTCGAGGCTGAATCGACGTTCTACAAAAATGCCGAAATGTTCAGATTTTTTGGTGCAAAAAGAGATCTGTCACGTCAAATTTATAAAAATATGGCGGTTCTTTTCATATGTAAGTAATTTTTAATCATATTATTGCTATTTGCTTCGTTGTAAATAAAAAAGTTACACTAATAACGGTAGTTTATTTCGGATTTGTTTACCAATACTGGCAGTTTATCCTCATACAATATGTATATCGGTCCAACGACTTATTCGAGTCTCGATGCCTCTGTTCGTAATTATTTCATTTGTTATGTATGAGTTTCGTACTGATAGACGTATTACGTACATTTCCTCCCACAAAAAATTCCTAACAGTTCTGTATTGGGAAAAAACGCTATGGGTACTAAACCACAGACTATTTTACTTCTATACTAAACTGTGATACCCTTCTCTCTGACGGTGGCCCGTGTTACTCTATGTATGAAACTCATTGTTAGAAATTTTTTAGAAACAATTTTTTAGAAATTTAAAATTTCATACATAGAAATTATTTTTTTTTCCCGATGAGCTAGAGACTTGAAATGTTTATCACAGCTCAGAATCGGATGACCAAATGAATCGCCCAACCCTCCAATGATCCCTCTCACACTCGATGCGTAGAGTAGTACTGGTAGTTCGCACCAGTTGGATACTATTTGGCTAAGTTCGCCCAGCGATCGATGGCGGTGGCAATGAATCAGCCCAAATGAAAGAAGTGCGATCGAGTTCGTCAAACGACATCGACTGTTTAGTTTTGATATTATACTTACACATCACCGTAACCACAGTAACCGACCGAGTGGTTTAAGTTTTTTTTTTTATGAGCGAAAGTTTGGACTTGGACGGTTGAACAATTATAGCCGGCACTCGAAACACGTCAGATCAGTAAAAGTGGACCAACTAATGAGCTAGCCGCTTAATCCTTAACTTAGGGGTGGTCAATTTTTATAATGTAATCGTTAGTGATCAGGTAACTTCTGAACGACTTTAATGATTGAGGTCACGAGTTTATTCATAACTTTCAACATTCTATGCTATATTCCGACAGGTGGCACTATAGTTAAGTTATTTACAAATTCTATATTTATAGACAAAAATTCACAATATATGTTGGTTTGTAGCAAACAAGAACACACTCTGGACGCGATAGGTGGCGCTGTGGTTGTATTACAAATTATTTTAAAATTTTAAAACTAGTTTTATTTATAAGATTCGGATTATTTTTACACAGAGAAATGGAAAGCTAAAAGGAAAAAGAAGAGCTCTTTGAAGCATCAAATAGCATTATTTAAATATAAAAAAGTTTATATAAACCAAATTAATAATTTCGATTAACGAAAAACCCCATAGCACTCAGAATTTTGATCGTGTGTTTACAGAAATTACTCTTTAGCAAAACAAAACTCGCCTACATTTCAAACAATTACGTGAAATTTGCATTCTGGAAATAGTCTAGAAAAAACAAGCAACCGCTGACGTATTCACCGATACGAGTACCATTCGCAGATAAGAAATCAAAGATTTCACTGTGAAAGCTACCACGGCTTATAGAGTATAATATATAAAATTATAGAGTATATTGAGAATATGATTCATTTTAGTCCTAAATAAAGAATTTGTCAATAACTGAATAGAGTCACAAAACAAATATATAATGTAAATATGACCTCAATCGATCAAATCGTTCATAAATTACACGAACACTAACACACGCACCAACGGTTATATGTATATAAAGACTAATTGTTCCCGCGTCTTCGCCCGCGTGGAATTTTTTTGCGCGGAACACTAAAATAAAAGTAGCCTATGTTAGTTCTTATAACATCAGCTATATGCCAGGGAAAGTCCCATCCAAACTGGTTCACAGGTTTTTGCGTGATGCGATTGACGTTCAGACAGACGTCGTGTTAGAGTTTTATTATAGTATAGAATTGAAAATATGAGTCAATTTAATCCTAAATATAGAATTTATCAATAACTTAATTATAGAGTCACCACAAAACAAATATAATATGGTGTAAATATGACCTCAATCGATCAAATCACTAAAATATTTAGTAATTAGTTGCTGTGGCCCATAGACATCTAGATCTATCTTCGACTACGAATCAAAATGCAGATGCGTTGTCACCCGCGAGAGGACTAAGATGGAATGCCTCCTTTCCAGTAAAAAGGGTCTCCCGTTCTCTACACTCACGAACTCTACATCACGAACATTAACAGACGCACCAACTATTATATACTTATAAAGATTTATTTACAATTTACATGGTTTTTGCCATAATCGTCACGCTTGAGAAGAGAATTGACATTGTCAGTGCCAGACATAAGAACCTTTTCTGCTGTTCACCTTTGACCTGTCGCCGACCTGGATACTTACGTCTGGCGTAAACTAGATGGTTTATATCGCCATTGTCAGAAGCTTCTATTTTTCTGGAATTTTTCAAAGTCGCCTTGGTGTGACGGATACTCCAAAACACACGATCAAAATTCTGAGTGCTATGTGCTTTTTTCGTTAATTAAATTATTAAAATGGTTTATATTCACTTTTCTTTTTATAAATAATAGTATTTATTATTAGTACTTCATTTCTTCCTTAAATTCAACCTGCTTAGAAATAAGTCTCTTCATTCACGCTTATGTTACGGCTTAGATATATAGAGATAAATTATAATAATGGGTTATAAGCGTTTCATTTTAATCCTAAGGGGTGATAACGCACTAAGAGTTTGAGAGAAAAAAAGAAAATGTAATGCACTTTCTTTCTTCAATTGATGCGGAAACATTGTCATTATAAGACATACAGTATGTGCGCCGCTTAACAACGTTCCTGACCGTGAAAAGGGACGCAATAGTTAAAAAATCGAAATGTTGACTTATTATGTCCAATGTTGAATGTGACTCATATAAAACATGTTTAAAAAAACATGCTTATTATAAAGAAAGAAATTTGACTTTGATACAATATTATGTTGTTTTCTTTCTGTTATTATTAAAGTTAACACTTGAAATTCTTCAATGATTAACAACCTAATTTAATAATTGTCACCAATAACATAATATCTACTTATGTACAGGTTTTTTAAACTAAATTAAGGCATAACAAAAATGAACACACAATATAACTAATCCTAAATAAATTCCGTTCCTACAAATACCTAAATTTTACTTGGTTAAATCAAAATTCAGATGAAACCCTTGAAGACTAAGATGGAATACCTGTAGAGCTGAGACGTGGTCCTTTCGCCTTATGACTGCTGTCATTTTTCCAAATTTTACATTAGTTACTTTCTTAGATTTTGTTCATATCTTTTATAACAAACTTTTTCGTTCAAATTTCATGCAAAACTTAGTAACATTCCCTGCAGGCTTTTCTCATTTTACAAGTGTGTTGCTGAATTAATTATAGGCTGTTACTTAAACCACATTAAATGTACTTCTAAGCAAATGAAGTTTTGAAAAAACTGCACCTGTTGACTGCCTGTGCATGCCTCATAAAGTCGTCTCACCATCTATTAGGCAGTTTTAGTTCACTTGAGCATCTTTCTTCTCCAATGTTAAAATTTGCGATTAACAATTGTAGTGGAGAGGATCAAACTCGACTTGGTATAAAATATAAGGTTTATTAAATAAACATCAATTAAACAACTGTGCTGTTCTTTGTACTAACGAAAGTTAGAAAAGAAATAATATGCAGTTATTCATGAAATGAAGTGTCGCATTCAGATAACGAATACAAGTACAGTGAACTAATTCCGGCCTATATAACTACGACAGTACTGATTGTTATCTACACATATCAAAAAGTAGCCGACGGGTGATCGATAGCTTAAAATTTCCAGGGATTCTATGTTTACCAGGAGATCCGCATCGACTATTGACTCATAGTGTCTTCGTTTGTGCAGCTACGAATATGTATATACGTAAAGATAAATCCTTGGTAAAGCGTTTCGATATAAGCACGTGGTGAACGAGGCGTCAGCATTAGTTCATTGGACAGTGTACAGAGCAGCTGTAGCAAGCGCACATTGAATAACTAAACGATAAACAAACTGTAAGTAAAATTCCTTAAGTGTAATTTTAAACTTCTAGGAAATAAATAAAAAAATGGTCCCTCAAAGTCAGTTAATTGTAAATTATTCGGCATTTTTTGTTATTCCCAGACGATGTCTTCAATAAAAGTTGACGCGCTTGTTCAGTCAATTTTCAACGTTAATCCTAAACGAGCTTAAAGTTCTAATTATTAGTGTCACACCCACTTTGTCTTTGTCACACCCAAAATCAATATATTATTTATTGTAAATAGTAGAAAAGAAATTTTCGCAGGTTCGACACTATAATCTGGGTAAATAATAGTCAGTCCACATCAGAGTTCAAGAACCAAGAAAATAATAATAATTTGTGTGGTTGGTCTTGGAAAAAACTGTCGCTGTAACACAAATCAGGAAAAGCATAAATTAATAAAATAGAATTCACTACCTAAAACTTCTAAATTTTACATCTTTAAGACATTTTTAAAATATTAATTAATTTTGGCTACGACTTGTAACTTGATATAAGTATAAAACAAATATATTTTACATTCGAAAATGTATATAATATTGTAACAGCTATCTTAGTTCCTTGA